AGAGAGAACAAACCAGGAGACATTTCCATAAGGAAAATGAGACACCTAATCTTGCACTTTTGTAACTGTGGAAGAAAGTGAAAACCAGTTTTTTTTTCTGTCAGTTGTTGCTTCAACATAATGCTCTTCCCTCAAGAGGCAAGAAAGCAATTATTGATGGAAAGGTAAGGAATGGGTTCACGACACCAAGCCAAGGGTGTGTTTTGCATGTTTCTGCTTCTGACCAGGGTCTGGACTGTTCTGCTTGAGTGAGGAAAGGCTTTTCTGATACGCTTCATGAAAGGAAGGATATAACCACTCCACCTTCACATCAGCAGATAGTCAGATAGGGTTGGTTGAAACCTTAATTTGCCTGGGTGTTTGTAGGGGAAAAGAGTAAGAATGAGTTCTTAGGTTTTCTTAAATTATTCTTATTAAATTAGTTAGATCTTCAATCTCACACTGAAGGAAGGAACAAACACAATAACATGTTTTTCTTTTTTTTCTTTCTGGATACCATGTGGTGGCGCAAGGTTTTCCTTCATGTTTTCTTTATTCCCCCAAGTATCACAGGGCAGATCTTTTGGAGAGGTTGTAAATGTCTAACTTGCCTCCATTTATTCATATTGCATAGTGTCTTAATGTGATTCATTCCAACAGTCTTGCTTACAAATCTATTTTCTATTCAATTGTGACAGAAAAATTGGAATTGAATTTATACAGCTGAAATAGAAAAAATGTTGCTTTAAAATTAACTGTGGAGTCTTGTCTGCTGCAAAGATGTTAGTGTAAAGTAAAATAACACATAGTTAATGTTTCCATACTTATCTTGTCTGCTGTACAATGTGGTCCATTCTGTCGGTTTTCACTGGAAAATTATTTTTGCTTTGTAGTTGAGAAATTAGTAGAGAAAGTGGTAAAAAATGAAGCTTAAAAACCTGACACCTCAGTGCATTCCAAGAAGAGCACTAAAATGTCAACTGATTTGCCAGCTATCGAGGCAAAACTGCAGATTTCCATTAACACATTTATCTGCCATAGTGGCGCTAGTTCAAAGTCCCCTTCAAAAGAAGAAAGAAAAGATTCAGAGTCGGTCACTGCCTAAATGCAGGGATTAAATTAACTAGAACAAGAGAAATTCACAGCTTCTTCCAGAAAGCTTACTACTCTGCCTCACGTACTTCATTCACATTGTATGGGTCTATGGATCTTAATGCCAGTTATTTCTTGGTTCCTTGCTGTTTTCTCTGTTGGTTTCTAGGGGTATATTCTTGCAGAAATGATCAGCCTTTAAGGGGGAAGTTATTTCTTTTGCCAGAGGTGTAGAGAACAACAAATGAAAGAGCAGGAATTTAGGAGTTGGATTGCGTGCAAATTTTCACTTGTTCAATTCCTTCATTTTGTAAGACTTGATTTTAGAGTTATTTAACACTGCATAAACATCTGCAACAACAGTGGTATTCTTATAGCAACTCAGGCACAGCACTTGCCAGGACTCCATGACCCAATGATATTAAAGGTGTTTTCTGACCTAAATGAGTCTATCAAGCAGCATGAGACTCTGTGCAGCAGCTGACTGGAGATGAATATCCTGAAGGAGCTTGATCAGGTAGCCAGCAAGGACCCATTTGTCCTGCTAGGAAGGTCATTTAAATTAGGTTTTTGGAGAGCCACAGAAGAGCAGAGACTGTGCATGAGAACAGAGAGTGAGGGGAGGCGCTTCAACCACCTGAGAAACATGCAGGGGACTGGATGTGTGTGTTATAGATGGAAAGCTAACTATTTTCCCATGAAAGGGAGGCACAGCATGGGAATTGAGATCTACAGTCGTCGGCCCACTCATCTGGATTGAACATTCCTGCGTGACTGAAACTGTGACTGGAATATTTTGGTAGCTGAATTTGCTCATTACTTACTACTTGGTGTCAAGGGGGAGTATGTGCACAGTATGAAAGGAACCATGGAAGAACTTCTTTATAAAAATTGTCTGGGAAAATAAAAAAAAGGCAAGACAGTGAACAAAGGACTCTCCCTAAATTTACATATACATCTTGAATTAATGCTTTGAGTCCACTCTTGAACTAGAGGGAAAGGTGTGGTCACTTTTCCTTGTAAGTGATTCCTGTCCCACATGATTCAGTGCTAACCTTTGGATGTTTGAGCTGTTATATCCATATGTGTACTCTGGCAATAAGCCATTGTCACTCACTCAGTGGTGAGGGTCAAAATGTTGCTCAGCTCCTCCTTCCCTGTGCACTTGACCCTGTCAGTGAGACAGAGCTGCTGGGGAAAACTGATCATGTTAACAAAATTTGAATTGCAGTATTATAGATGAAGGGAATGAGCTGGGATTTCACATGCAGCTTTCATTCTTGCACTTCCTACTTCTGAGCAGTTTACTTGGATAACATTTTACTTGGATAACAGGGGCATTTTTTTCTTCTATTCAAAGAAGTCTTAGAAAGAAGCCCATTATTTTATATGCTTCTGTATCTAAGGGTCTGTGCTTTGGTTCTTCAGCACCATTGGCCAGCCAGGACTGTGGCTCTCGCTACATGGATTGATAGCAAGGTTCTTAACTTGCATGAATAAAGGGAAATGGCAGGAAAGGAATTGGGACACGCAATGTTGTCAGGACGTTATCAGACGAAGTCCAAATAGGTCCTCTCTTCCTGATCTTGGAAGCCTGGGTTTTTCCATGGATATCTGTGGAACAAGCTTGTCCTTTTTATTGAACCGTTCTTAGCTAAAAGTCAAGAGCTATTCCTGTTTTTATGTTGCATTATTAATGCAGCTTTGATACAGTCTGCTCATTCTCTACAAATTCTGGAAATTGTCCACTCTGCAAATACAGAGAAGTCTTCAGTCAGCTCTTGTGCTGTTTGCAATCTGTTATGGGAATTATGCTACTTATTTAATAAAAAAATGAAACAATACTAAAGCAAGAAGAATGAACTAGCTTTTAGGCTTTTCTGTTTACTCCTATGTTTCTTCTTTGTGTTTAGAAAAACACTGGCTTAAAAAGTTGTGGTGCAACTTAGTTTATAGGATGATGTTGCTGTTTTCCAGTGACAAATTACGGTGGTTTTTTTTAAGGTAAAACAGGATAAATCCTGTTCAAAGGTAAAGCCAAAGGGTTTGCTTAAGAATGGGACTAAATACAAAATTTTCTAATGCAAATCTGACATGGTACAATCAAATAATATCCTTGCCAAATTATCCAGTCAAATTAAGAAATTTGTTGATTTCTAAACAATCTAGATAATGTCTGGTAGTTTTTATTGCTTTGATATCCTTCAGTAATTTTTACTTATCAAAATAACCTCTCCCGCTTTTCTTCTTTAATGATAATTTTCCATACTGGAAAAAATTGTTTGTTTTTTTTTTTTTTCCTAAAAGATGGTTATATTTAGAAGCCTTCTCCTGTCCTGAAATGAACATACTGGAGTTCAATTGCAGCTGATATGGGACTCTGTTAATTTCTCATCTTGTTATATAATCTCTAGAGAATCTCAGTAATGGAAGATAATTTTTTTTCCCTTTTCTGGAAAAAGGCATGTATCTTTCTCAGCCACAGAACTGGAAGGAATAAGTATTGTTTCTTCATTTGGCTTTTGATTCTTTCCACAGACATAACTCTGAAGGGCAAAGGAGAAGTGGTGTGAATGTAGGAGATCTAGGGCTTTCTGAAAGTATCACAGGGTGTCTTTGTGAGATCTGGAGTGTGTTGAGATATCTGCTAATATCTGGAGTTTCTGTTGGGTGTTGCAAAGCATGTTTAGAGAGTGGTCACCTCCTCCAGCACCTCCAGTCCCTGGAACCCCTCCTGCCTGGCTGCTGGTGCCTAACCTTGTACCCAGGGCTTCTCTCTGAGCTGAAGGATGTGGCTGCAGCTTTTGCCCTTGATGGTTCAACCAGTCTGAGCAGATATTCCAGTGCTGTGCAGGCAGGACACGGCTGTCACACAGGTTGACACAGGCAAGGTGCTGCCTTCAACAGCACCCAAGTGCATCACCCATATAAACACGGACAGTCAAGTCCCCTCTTTCTCCTCAGCTGACAGAAATAGATGGTCACTAGGGAAGGAACAGGTTCAGTCACACACACCGTTTTACATGTGACTGACCCCTTTAATACCCTTTCCTGTCAGTTCCCTCTTTGTTCCTCCCCATTCCCTAACCCTGCTGATGCCTCATGAGATTGCATAGTCCCCTCAACATCCTTATCAAGTTGCAAAGTCCTGTTTGCCTGCAGTTTCTTGATAGCTCACCAATTTGTGTACCTGACAAGTTTTCTTTATTTCCTTCTTGTTTTTCTTCATTACGTTTTCCTGTCAAGTCTGTGTTTGTGTATTTGGTTCCTTTTATTATTATTCCTTTTTGCACCAAAAATTTCATTGACCAGATACCCTAAAGAAGCAGATACTCTCCTTCCACACACCCTTACATGTTGTGCTTTGTCACATTATAGTGAAGAGTATCTTCACACCACAAGATGAGTTCCTTGTGAATACAGCCTCTCAGGGTCATATAGCAGGATTCAAAAACTGCTAGCTGCTTCTTGCCACTAAAATGGAGAAATTTAAACATTTTTTTTTTAAATCAAATAGCTTTGATTGCAAAATAAAAGTGGAGTTGGTCCATTAGTATGAAATAGTTAAGAAAATACCCTCCAAACAGACCTTGGCTTTAACAGAGTACACTCATTTACAGCCTGATGGTACAGTCATTAGAGTAGGGAGTCTTTTTCTAGAAGTTAGTGGGAACCTTCAGTGTTTTGGAGAGTTTTACAGGCCTTGGGAAGAAAGCCATAGATTCCCATGAACTGTGCAATATTTGCAATTTAAATTAGAGCGAAGTATTTCAGTGGTGCCAGTGTATCCCCATGAATCCTTTCAGACAGGGGAAAAAAAAAAAATCTCCTGGCCTCCATCAGCATATGCATCATGTAATCTATTTTTTTTTTGGTGGTTTTACCGTTCATTACTGTACCCTAAATACTCTCATGTTTTTATTTTTCAGGTCAAAAGGTGTGCTATGGTGCCTTCAAGCGCTCATGTTACAAGTTAGCCTATTTCCAGGACTTGTCTAGACGTGTGGGCTTTCAGGAGGCCCGCCAGGCTTGTGAGATGGATGGTGGGGCTTTACTGAGCTTGGAAAGCGAAGCTGAGCAGCAACTGATAGAAAACATGTTACAAAACCTCACTAAATCAGGCTCTGGGATTTCTGATGGTGATTTCTGGATCGGGCTCTGGAGGAGTGGTGATGGACTGGCCACATCAAGTGTTTGCCCCGACCTCTACCAGTGGGCTGATGGAAGTATTTCACCCTTCAGGTAAGTCTGTAAAACTACTTATAGAGAAGGTTCTGTGGAAAGAAATGGGAATTGAAATGCCCAGCAAGCCAAGTATTCTAGAAAGAAGCTTGACGACTGTCTGGCCCATGAAGTTTCTAGTGTCCCTCCTTAACTCCTCCAGATAAAGTGGAGCTGGTATTTTGAATCTGGAGCTGTGAAAGGGTGGCATAGTGTGGCTTCAGCCTACAATTTTCCTTGCTCCCATCTAATGAGTTTGTCCCTCTATGGCTCTTGGAGGTTGTTCTACCACACCTAGAATCTTTTAGGATGTGGCCTGATAGCAGGCAGGCACATTCTGCAAAACTCTGGCCACCTTGAGTCAGGGAGCCAGCCACTAAGTAAATTAATGCATATTAGTGTGAATTTTTCTGTTTCTACCTTTTTTGAAAAGCCTTTCATTTCCTGATTAAGCCAAAGACCAGAGCAGCAGCAACTCACAGAACTCAGGACAAGGGGACAGTTAAAAGTCAAATAGTCAGGAAAGCAGAGCAGTAGGATTTTATTTCTGCAGAGGTGCTTTGACTCATCAGATTTTTAAGATCCAGAGTTGTGGAGCTTGGGACTTAAACTCTTTTCACAGAGAAATTGTGGGAAATGAAGCATATCTTTGAGGATGGGAGTGTTGGATTTGATGTATCTTCATTGATGTAAACTGTTTTTAGTACCCTGATGAACCTTACCTTCAAAAGTTGAAAGCTTGTCTTTATGTGTGCCACTAGAAATTGGTATACAGATGAGCCTTCCTGTGGAAGTGAAGCCTGTGTGGTGATGTATCATCAGCCAACTGCAAACCCTGGTCTGGGAGGGCCATACCTTTATCAATGGAATGATGATAGATGCAACATGAAGCACAATTTTATCTGCAAATATGCCCCAGGTAGGTGAAACTAGAGTTATATTGCACAGGTGGGACATTACCTTAGAAAAAGAATTGCCTCAGTTTTGTGAGGGAATTTTAAATAAATTTTAAATATAAAATTTTAAAATAAATTTTAATAAATTTAGATAAACCTGCTTGTATCTAATAAGAATGTTTTCAAGGTTATCTTCACTATCATGCATTCCCAGGTTTGCTTTGATATAATTAATTCCCTGGTTATTTTATTCTCCACAAAGTGTTTTAAGTGGCCATTTTCTACTTTCCTTGTTCACTATGAAGTAGAATGACCAAGACATCTCTTGGTCCTACTGGAAAAAATACACTGTCCTTGTAGTTGCAGACCCATCATTTTGTATTAAGTTATTTTGTGATGGCTGTTTCAAAAAATTTTGGCTTGAAGATTGAAGTCCAGAACAGTAGGAAAAAAATTCTGCATTCATGCATGTAAACTTTAGATATGAAAAGCAGATGCATGCTAGTTGAGATGGTGACAGAAAAAGCCAGATCTTAGGCAATTTGGCTGTACTTCCAGACATGACATAAGTTCTGTATATGTCAGTAGAGGAAACATGAACTATAAACTAGAACATCATGAAAAAACAGAAAAGACATGAAAAATAAACTTTCAAGATTGAGCCTGTAACACTTTCTACTCTTGGTGGTACTTACAGCAAATGAAAACGTGGTTTGCAGCAGGATCATAAAAATATTTTCAAATAATCTATGCTGTATCCGTTTCTCAAAAAGTAAGCCGAAAGTCAGAATGCATATGAAATTATGCATTAATTTCATTAATTAATTAATAAAATCTTGAAAAGTGGACCAGTGGGAATGCCATGAGGCTTAACAAGGCCAAGTCCAAGGTGCTGCAACAGGGCTGGGGCAATCCCCAGCATGAATACAGGCTGGGGGATGAACAGATCCAGAGCAGCCCTGCTGAGAAGGACTTGGGGGTGCTGGTGGGTGAGAGGCTGGACATGACCCAGCCATGTGCACTGGGAGCCCAGAAACCCCCCATGTCCTGGGCTGCATCCAAAGCAGTGTGGGCAGCAGGGGACGGAGGGGATTCTACCCCTCTGCTCTGCTCTGGTGAGACCCCACCTGCAGTGCTGCCTCCAGCTCTGGGGTCCCCAGCACAGGAAGGACATGGAGCTGCTGGAGCGAGTCCAGAGGAGGCATCAAGATGATCAGAGAGATAGAGCACCTCTGCTATGAGGAAAAGCTGAGAGAACTGGGATTGTTCAGCCTGGAAAAGAGAAAGGTCTGGGATGATCTAATTATGGCCTTGCAGTATCTGAAAGGAGCCTACAGGAAAGATGGAGAGAGACTATTTACAAGGGCCTGTAGTGACAGGATGGGGGGAATGGCTTCAAACTGAAAGAGAGTGGGTTTAGATTAGAAATTAGCAGGAAGTTCTTTGCTTTGAGGGTGGTGAGGCTCTGGCACAGGTTTCCCAGAGAAGCTGTGGATGTCCCATCCCTGGAAGTGTTCAAGGCAAGGTTGGATGGAGCTCTGAGCAACCTGTCCCTGGAATGAGATGATCTTTAAGGTCCCTTCCAACCCAAGCTATTCTGTGATTCTGTGAAATCCTGCTCTTAACAGCTATTTGTCCTACCTCATTCTGTGGTTTTCTATCTGTTCTCTCGATGCTCACAATCAAACCATAATCACTCTTTGTACAGATCTGTCTGTCTGTAGAGATTCAGGCTATTTTCTTCCTCTGACTTTGGGAGATAGCTTTTTCACTCTCTAGTCTCTTAATGAATATATTAATGACAATTGATATTGGAAGCAAATATTAAATATTTGGAAGGCTTGGTATACCCACACATTTTAACCTCACCCTCAAAATCTGTTTCTGCTTTTAAAGTTATTAGTTTATGATAATCATTATCTATCATAGGCCCTTCAAGGAAATGTGACATATACATTTTTATCACTTTTACAACTGAGCCCAATTATTTTAAATAAGATAATAAAAAGACTTTATGTCATTAAAATAACATTTTTATGTCAGAAAGTTCACATTTGATTAAAAAGGTTCAATTTCAAGTATATTTCATGTCCTTAAAAAATACAAAGTGAAGTGAAATAATGATTCTCTAATAGTGAACTACTTACCATTCTTCTTGAGATGTGATAAAGAATTGTTTTTTCTATTGCTTTCACCATTGGAAAAAATGTCAGGTGTTTTGGATTGGCAGAAAACAAAGCGATAACAGTGAAATTACTTAACAATGAAAATGGATTTATATTCCTTTCACCATGTAGAAGTAGGTTACTAGTGTATAATGAGGCGTATAAGGCAAATAATATATAGGTAGATAATTGTTAGGATTATCTAACAATAATCCTAACAACTGACATTGTTGTGCAGCTAAATACAGTACTACTGAATTGTAGCTATTTATTTTTCAAGCTCTTGGAACTGTGCTCTTTAGCAAACCAGACTGTTCTCTAGAAATGCATTTTTCTGTCACATGGAGGAAAGGAGTGGATGCATAAATGTGTATAAATAGGTATATGACATTCCTTTCACTGCCTGAAGAAAGTGCCGCAATGCCTGTAAGAAAATTACATTTGCCATCTCAAACTGAGATCTTACAAATGACCTTTTTTTCCCCCCAAATCACCGTAAAAGCTTCAGAGTCAGCTATTTGCAATACAAAATACATCCATTTTAGCAGAAGTATTCAAGTGCCACATGCATATTGAATTTCAGTTTGTTATCCAAGTATGTTGTTTTTCCACAACTTTTCTGTCTGTATGGTGTAGGATACCAGTCACAGGCCAAAACAGGTTGTAGGTGACTGTGATGTAGTTGAATCTAATTGTATCAGCAGCGAGTTCAGGGCAGTGCTCATTAGGCAGTCTTGATCAAGCTGCAACTACATTTCTGGTGGTCACTTTAATTTTTCTAAGCCCTTTTTACAGTGCTTTCCTTGACAGCATTTACTGGCTTTAGATCATATTGATCATTCAGCAATCTTAAATTTAATTACAGGTTGGTAATTGCAACCACATTCCAGTTCCTGTATGTTTGATTATGCAATCAAATTAAAAACTGCTCTTCTGCTGTCTAGGGACAGAACTCAGTTCTTCGGGGTATTTTGCTATCTTTCTTTATATATGGTCAGATGTAGCTATTTTTTGTCAGAGTAGGTAAAATAATTGCCTTTTTCTGGTGGGTTTTACTGCTGCTCTGATTTCTCCCAGCAGTTTGTGTTTATCAAGACACTCAGAACTGCAGGCTCATAACACTATTTAGTATAATCTTATGATGAAGGAATGGTGTTCAGTCATGCAGATTCCACCCCTGTCCTCTATATGAGGTCATCAATTCTGTGATCTTTGTGAACTTTAGTTATAACAGTAACCATAAGTAAATTTAGAAGCCTCTGCAATGCAGCCCAAAGCCATGAATTTGTCCTCCAGTTTCTGGTGCGTTACAAGAAGTAAGATATCATTCCTCTTTTAGTGATTTCAGTTCCTTATGAGATTTATTAGAAGCCACTGCCTATGATTTGGATTTTAGGGCTGCCTGATGCAAACCCAAACTACATGAAACTGGCATCTAACCTCACAAACTTGTGCTGCTTTGTTTTGTTTCGTAGCCAATATTCTGTATGCCTTATTTTGAAAATGTGGATAAAATTTAAGTGCTAATCATGAACACTTAGTTTTTTGTATTGTTTTAGGATTGTCTGCACAAATAAAACTTTGAGGATGTTAGGAGTTTTATTGAGCAAAGGAAATTAAGATGTTTAGTGGTTTATTCAGTAATATAACAGTGGCCACCAAGAATTGGAACTAGAATAAACTATAGCCCTTTTCTAAGGAGCAAAAAGTATGAAGTAGAAGTGATTTGAAGCTAGTATGCAAATAGTCTTTGGTAAGAAGATGAAATGCTAAAGAGTTAAGCAATTACTGTTTGGGGGAAATGTATCTATTTCTATGATACTGCATGCAAAATAATGAAAACATCTGTTTTATTGCATACATATTTAATTCTTCAACAATTGATTTCAAATATCGATTTAACAGATTATGTCTTAGAAAAAGAATTAGGAGACAGAGCGGAGCCAGATTACGGTAAGAAATTTTAAACATTAAACTGATTTGCAGTGGTAAATACAGAATTATAAGGATAGCTTACAAAACCCTCCAAAATTATTTAAGTTCAACAGGCACAGTTTAAAACTGGAACATAGGAGAAATGAATCCTTTAGAGAGCAATAGCTACAAATGTATGGCTATTCAGAATAGCACTGCTCGTAATTCTTGTTCCAGATGTAATCCCAATTTTGTAATAAAATCTTGTTTACATGTATATATCCAGCCGTTTAGTCAGTCATAAAAACTTTCATTTTTCCAATATAAATTAAGATGTAATTATTATTAATTTATTTAACAACATAACAGCCATATTTTTTACTCACTGTTTTCCTAAGATGTCTGATATCCTTTTCAGATACTATTCCAACAGTGCCAGCAGGAAATCCTTATGACACAAGTAAACCAGAAGATCAGTATCACATTATTGCTACTGAAACAGGTAATGTGTTCATATGAATTTAGTGTTCTGGTAAAAATATTAACAGTGGACTCTGTTAATAATGGAAACTGTTAAATATTAATTTGTCAACGGGAGGAAGCAGTCTGTTTCCACAGGAACTGCCCTGAAAACGTATACATTTGAATAACACGTAAAGAGTTTTAGTCATTCTTCTTTGTAACTGTGGAAACAAATAATTTCCTTGTCTCCCAAAACTTTGGTCTGAATCTACAATCTACACTGTTTCTCCTGAGATGTAACATTTCACCAGTGCTCACCCAGCTGTGGAGCATCTCCTTCTAGGCTGTGGTAACCAGTGCCTTGCCTCTCTCCATCTCCTCCCCACCTCCTCCCCAAGACATATCAGTTATATCTGATACCTTTGACTCATTAAAAAAAAAGGCACAAATGAATCTTTCCTAACAGACATGACATGAATTCTCCAGTTATCTACCGAATAAGCACTGTGCCATACACAAGTATGCTGCGTTTTAAGGAATACCACATGCTTAGAGGAGTTGAGTGCTTTGCCGAGATTTCTAGCAGAAATGACACTTGGTATTTTGGAAATGGATACCTACTGCCTAGGTGCTTCCTGTAGTGCCCCAGCTACTTCGTTGAGCAATTTATGTCCTGAATGGAGTCTTGAGGTTCATGAAAATAGGTAGTATGGCCTTAGTTCAAGGAACTGAACATCTCCAAGGAGCAACTCTGGATTTTACAGGATTGTACCATGGGATTATTGAAAGTTGGTGCTCTATTTCCACACTGGTTGTCTGGATTTAAGTCAGCTTCCTAACTGATATTTCTGTTGTTTGTAACTCCAGAGGAATTGATATATTGATGAACTGTGTTTTAAAATCAATACTACCACTTACAGAAACTATACAAAGACTGTTTAAAACTCCTAAACAGAGCCAACCTGAACATTCACCTTTATTTTTTCTAGTAAAAAATATTTTCAAAATAGGTGGGTAAGAAACTCTCCACTCTGTACATTAAACATACACTGGCATAAAACATGGGCATATAATTACTGAAAAACAGTTGGATCCTTCTGGAAGTTGCAAACCACATCCTTTATTGTAGACAGATAATAGTCTCGGCTTTTACCATTTCCCACTCCTTTTGACCAGGTACCTGCAGGAGAGGATCTTTAGCTCTCCTGACTAGTCAAGAACAGTGTATATCCGTCTTTTAAGGGGAAAGAGGAGATGCTCCTCCTGTGGTCCTGCGTGGGTGAGAATCCAACATACAAGGACAACTGAATCTACAGGTTGTGTGGACCGTAAAAATAATAGGCTGTGAAATGTGCTTTGTTAGAATAATTGAATTTTCAAATACAAAATCGGAAAATATCAGAATTTAAGACCTTAACATATCTTGCACATCACTCAGTAAATGCTGTTTTATTGATACTGCTGAGTTATCTCTTTGGAGCTCTTCCTATAGAAGGAATGTATAAGTGTTCTTTTGAGTAAGTTAATGTATTTCTGATATTTTACTCCAGATTTTTGCTCACAGGGTTAAGGGTATTTTCAGCATGGGAGACATTAATGAGAACTTTTGTCTTGTAGGTATAATTCCGAATCTAATTTATGTTGTAATACCCACTATACCATTACTGCTGTTGATACTGGTGGCTTTTGGGACTTGCTGTTTCCAGATGCTTCATAAAAGGTAAAATATATTCATCCATAAAGGTCTTAAAATGCAGAATTCATATTTCCATTGCCAAGCTATTCATGCTGAAAGACTGCTTACATCTGTCCCCAAATATGCAAATAAGCATCTTTTCATCTATTAAAATCCAAGTAGTTTACAGCTGTTAAAGCTGAACATTCACCTTCGGGCTTTTCCACATGTTGAAATAATTCCAGGTGTCAAAGTACATAGCTGTTAGGACTTCACCTCTTTATGAAAAAGGTATCTCTGCAGACCATTTGGTAGGCTGAGCTGTTGTCAGCACTTTTATTTCACCTCTTCCATCATGCAGCATCTGGGCTGTAGGAAGGAATAGTGGGGTCCTTACAAATACAGGGTGAACTCAAGGACTTGCCTCACTTTCTGACTTAAAGTGCAGTTTTTTCCAAGGATAGACCTAAGGGTCAGCAGCTGTTTAATGCTGTTTCACTGCCCATACCCTACAAGCAACAGGTGGATCACTGGAGCAGAGAAATTGAAAACAAAGAGCAAATCTGTGCTTTGAGCCATGCATCCTTTGTATGTCATGTATCTGCTAAAGAAAATGCATAAAGTAAACAGATATTTGTACATAGATGCAGTGTCAAACAGATGAATTATTATGCAAAGAGGAAACATTTCAGTCTATGAAACAGGATATATTTTGATTCATGCTTTAAAATTCTTTGGACTTTTAATTTTTCTCGAAGTATGATACATTAAGAAATGACAACTTTTTTTTTTTTTCTGAACTAATACTTCTGAAACTTTTTTACAGGATCCTTTTCATCCCTTTTTTCAGAAAGTGCTCTCAAGGCAATGTAATCCAGAAAGGTTTAAACTGAAATAGATAATTGCTATTTTAGTAAAACATCAAGAGTAATAAACAGATTCACAAGCTGTTATCCCTCTTGAAGAGCAGAAATAATAGTAAGGATTATGATATCACTGTTTTAAGAAATTAGAAAAAAAACTCCTCCGTATTTTTAGTTTTTATTTTTATTTTGTGGTTTTTCTTTCATTTTTCCTGCCAATAGCTGAAACACCTTATTTCAGGTGCGAAAACTTTTCAAATATGAAGCCTGTTTCTGTCTGTATGAGTGAATCTACAGTAATATTTACAGTACTTCTTAGTAATGTACCTCATTAAAGCAAGTAATCGTAAAGATATTATGAGGTCTGCATCATAAATTGGTTGTCTTTTTTATGCACTTTTCTATAAAGAAAAGGAAAATGTGCACTTTTCAACATGTCTTATGACAGGCAAATACATGCTTGTGAAAGATTATATCCAAGCATCAGCACTAGGACTGTAGAAGTTTGGAAGCTCAAAGCAAAAAGGGTAATAAAGAAATAATATAGATAACAATAGCAATTATACAGTAGTTGAAATCTGGAACCCTTATTTTAATAGCCCTGGATTTTCTGGTAAGTATGACATATGTGTTCATACCTTTCCTGGCAGGTCTTTCTCTCCCCAGAAAGGTTTCAGCCCTCAAATGCTCCTGGGAAAGCAATGAGAGATTCATGGCCCACTGAAATCAATGGAATTAGTGGTGTTGACTTCAGTGGGCTTTGATCAGGCCTTTGATGCTATAGCAGTTCATTCAGAAGTAATTCATCTGAACTTCCAAGACTTCAAAATTGCATGACACAGATACTGGAAATTCACCTTGGAAGATTGTCCCTTTCCTGTTAGCTGATTAGTTTGATAGACTAAATGATACAAAAATCAGTGAGAAAGTGGTTTTGAATCAAAACAGCAGTTTTGGCTCTTTGGTTTGGGGATTTTTTTTTTCCTCCCAGAATGCTCATTTGGGTTTCGTCAAAACTTTTAATTTAAGAAATTACACCAATTTTTAAAAATTACTTTAATCAAAATGCTATCACCAAGAACAAGGTATTTTCTTTATCTGTTGAAACAGAACTTTATTTTTTAAAAATATATTTCCCCATCTATTTTCAATTATATTTCCACTTATTTCCACCTTGCAAATCATTTTGTTTCATTACAAATGTGCAGTTCTTGGGCAAAAGGCAAATTAAAAAAAGAGGCACTTGAACTGATCATCTGAACATTGTAGAGCTTTAGGAAAGGGATTCTATCCTGCTGGGGAAGGAGGGATCCCCAACTTTCCACATGAACCTGACTTCTCATTCTTTTTTAGGCTTCCACAACATGGTGACCTTTCCTCTGAAACCCACAATCCATGGCCAACCAGGACATGCCTAGCTTGAAAGGTCATGACTAATTTTGCCTGGCATTGGGCTCTTAAAGGGTACTAATAAGGAAAAGAAAACCTCATCCCTGTAGCTGGCAGAACTGATCAGCTCATTCATGCTTAGATGCTCTCCCTTTCATTTCTTCCAGGGAAGCAAGGAGAAACTGCTTCAAAGACCCATCTCCATTATCATCTGAATGCCTTGCAGAAAGTTTAAATTCCAACCTGGTATATTTCTCAGTTTCTATGATTGCATTTGATGGTCAAAACAGCAATATGCTCAAGCTATTTATTGCATCTTCCTTACCTTTCTTACTAAAATATATTTCCTGAACCAGATGTGTAGGTGGTGAAAATCAGCATAGGTTTGCTGAAGATAAGCTCCTTTTATACAGCTCAAGTTCTGATCCAAGGTATTTAGAAATTGTTCCTACTGTGTGGCAAGGACTCTCCATTCAAAGCATTTCATCATTAATTTACCAAGTATGTTTGCATTTGCTGTATCAATCTGGAAGGAAGTAGGGAATCAGTCTCTTTAAGAAAGGAGTGCTGAAGCTCCTTAATTCATTGCAATTGCTTTGTTTATAGCATTGTGGCCTGATCTAAAGTCCACTGAAGCCAATGGGAGTCTTTTCAATAACTCCAATGGGCTCAGGTACATAATGCACTGCTTTGTAGGACTACAGAGGTAAGTCTGGAGGGACTAAAACTACTGTACCATTCAGCTCCCTCAAAGTACATTTTAAATCAACTCAGACTTGCTTGCTTTTACAAACCAGGAAAGGAGTAAACTGAAAATTCAGAAAACTGAATGTATAGGACTGTTGGGACTCTGAAGTTGCCAGCTCACAGAGTAATGTAGGGCTACTTCTCCTCCTCTGGTAATTACTTAATTGGAAAAGAACCTGTCAGTGTGAAATATTCTAGCCAGAGAGTAAAACATTTTGATTGAAATGCAGCTGCAGTGGCTCATGAAATGCCTCTTTCCAGTAGGCTGCAGTGCACTGTTACTTGCCAGTGTACATGAGGGAAGGTGGTGCATGCTCCCTGTAAAGATGAGAGTGAACACTTTTTTAAAATATTGCAGAGCACCTACTTTTAGAACCAGTTTCCCCCCCCATCCAAACCACAATTGAAGGAAAACCAGCCCTAGTGAAGCTTTCTACCAGTCATTCATTGCTAGGAGTCTGACTCATGCACCATCACTTCATTAGATGCCAGGTCAAGCCCTGAAGGGAAGAAGCTTTCTGGCACTGACACCCATTAGTGTTCTGGGGTCCCAGGGGTGCAGGTGCAGGGTGCACGTGGGCAGGGTTGGGGTACCTCCCCTGGGGTGGGTTTGGGCTTCACCCTGAGCCCCTTGGGCAGCGCTGAGGGGGGTGTGTGTGTGTCTGGTCCCCCCTACAAGGGAAGCACTCAGCTCCCGCCAACCCTGGTCAAACTGTGTCCACACCTATCCTGGGAAAGACCACTTTATAAGAGAAGGTGTGGTTAAATGGGAACTGGAAAAAAACCCCAAAACCCCAAAATGAATGAAATATGGGCCAAGTTATCACAGTTCTTGGGAGTAGCACTGCTAAGCAGGGTGGTCTGGTAACTTTGGTAACAGTTGCTTACCTAAACCCACCATGTGCCACTGTGGATGGGGAACCTCCTCTGTGAAAGCAACAAAAATGGCCTTCAGATGTGGGGGTGAAACAATCAGGTCTGATCACAAACCTGAATCGGGGTTGCAAAGGCACATGTGGCACTGAAAATAGTTTATATTTTTATTTTTCAGTAAAGGAAGAACAAAAACCAGTCCAAACCAGTCCACACTGTGGATTTCAAAGACGCCTAGGAAGGACAGTAGCATGGAGGTATAATGATTTACTGACTGAAAAGAAAGCAAAAATAACATTTTGCAGTGAGGCTGTATTTATAATGTCGTCGAAGAACATTAGCTTGGAATGGCTTGAAAATGCAAAGGATCTACAAGAATGAACTGTAAGCTCCCCCTTGAGGCAAATGTTCAGATCATTTTTATATAACGTTTGTTTATTAATTCAGTAACAAAATATGCCATGCTAAATAAAGGGTATGTGTTTATTTTGCTAAGAGATGTTAGCTAGTTGTGAGCAATGAAATGAAGAGAGCGTTTGAAGTTTTTATGGGGAACTATCCACAACGTATATCAGTTTTAAGACTGTTTGTAGTTAAACAAACCCTCTTTGTTTTCTTTAGTCTCTCATGCATTGTAACCTAGTCGATGTACTGTAAACGGAACTGACAATTTTACAGTGTAACAATTATTTATCTTTGCATAAAAGTTTGATACAAAATATTTGTTTAGTGTTTATTTGTACGCAACACAGTTTTTGATCCTCAGGTACAAATATTATTTTATTAAATATTAACATAGTTGCTGACAGAGATAGCCACCATGTTGTGACATCAACCTGATGTGGCAAAATTCAAGGATTCATCAATTTGTTGTCATAGAATGAATTCACTTTACCTGGGAATGACCATAACTTTTTTGACATGTTGCCCCAAGCTCAACAGAAATAACTTGGCAAGTGACACCTCATTAATGAGGTGTCCTTTGAAGGCAGCTACTAGCTGTTAGTCAAGTAAAATATTTTTTACTTTTTTCTGATGGAAAAAATTCACAGTGGGCCAGATTTAGATTAATGTCTTTTTTACATAGACTTACTGAAACAGTAAAGATCATTTAAATATAGCTAATACTTTGTTAGGAATAATGTAACGTTGGAACAAAGAGAAGACAAATAGCATTTCTTGGAAGTGGCACTAATAGATTGATCCCAAAGTTATTCAGACTATTATCTAAAAAAGCATTAATTATGTTAATTGGTGGACAGATTTAGAGGACTAAAGTCTGCTTTTAGAGTTATGATTAACATCATTAATGTCCATTCTCTCTGGTTCCTTAAGAGCTTTCTGTGCCTTAAGAATGGTTTTACCAGCCATTAGGAGCAGCCTTGGGGTGGTGGCAATAGCACTCTGGCTGATTTGTTGGTGACAGCCTGGTGCTGGAGCAGAAAGTTAAGGAAATTTACTGCAGTTCCAGCAAGAGTTCAAGAGCATGAGTTCAACCTTGTTGGTTTTAACACAGATTCCAAACTACCACTGGGTGGGTGTTGGGGAGAGACTGACTGAAGCAAAACTGTTGGGTTGTCTGCACTGTGCTGGCTGATGTTAAACACATGAGTTCAGAGACAAATGTGCATCAATTTTTTCCGAGTAAAGAAAAAAATATTTGAGAGTTCAATGCCATTAATACTAATTGTGCAATTAGTTGCTGAAGCACTTTTGGAGACATCTTAAAGTTGCTGTTATGCTATGTTTTTACTTCCTCTTCAAAGAAGCCTTCTTCTGTAGTTCATGTTAGGTATTGTTATTCCTACTGAAAATATTCTGTAGTTTTTCCAATCAGGCACAGCTTTTTTTTCTGTTCAATCCCCACTTCAGTTTCCTCTGTAGTGAGAAAATACTTTGATCCTGTGTGATCAGAAAGACTGGAATTGATTTTTTTCTCCTAACTTAATTATTGCTCAATTCAGCTGAGGGCAAGAGAGACCTCTTTCTTGGCAACAGTTGCAGTAAAAGGAACTTAGTTATTTTTATGGTATTGAATGATTAACTCCCTTTAACTCAATGTAAGGATTAACTATTTCTTCATGTTTCTTGCATCTAGAGGATATGTTGAGGTGTAGCAATTGATATTATGGTTAACACAGCAGAAGTGATTTCCATGCAGCAATTAGGCTAATGCAAATACCTTCAGATGTGTTTCTTATGGAGTGAAAGCAATTTCTGGGCAGTCATCAGCATGGACCACTCAAACTCTGTGTGAAGGGAGGAAAGTGGCATGCAGTGTTTTTATTATAGTGTACTCAGCTTTTATGTATGAGTAAGAAATATTGGCTATTGGGACAAAATAATTCTGTCATATCACCATATCCGTCCTCTGTTTCAAAGCATCTTGGAACTGTGACTCAGTTGCAAAAATAATCCATGCTACTCAAGTGTTTCAACACTTGATTTCTCCACAGGCACTTGAAGCCATGAATGCTGACTGAAGGCTAGAATGGGATTGACTAAGTTTTACAGAGATATAAATTAGTTGAAATAATTTTTTTTTTAAAAATTATAATAATTTATAAAACATCTACATTTCTATGACAGAATTTATAATGGGAAATTTTATAATGTGATGGGATGATTTATCAATATATACCTCAAAATATATCTATGCTTTGCATTTTGTGAAGCAAAAAAATACACACAAATAAAAGTATGTTCCTTTATTTCCGGGAAGCACATTTTTCTAGTGACTGGATCTGTTTTGAGCTGGCTTTTGTGTTTTGTTAACAGACTGAAACAAAATCTACTGTAGTGGTGTAGGGTAAATAATGCAGAAATCATGTCTCGTTTTAATTAAGCATTTTAATGTAATTGCTTCATCCAAGTCAGCTTCTACTGCTAGCAGAATGCAATTTATTTTCAGTGGTTGCTTTCAAGTGAAGGAGAGTAACAGGAGAAGTGGTCCACTATGAAAGATAGAATTTGCACCTTTAACATTTTAATGTTAAAAACTGTGTGTTTTATATGAGGGAATGTGTCTAATACACCTTCATACCTTCTCTCTGGCTTAATTACATTTGTATGTGTTCCTTGTGGTCACAGGTGTCTTGATAGTGATACATATTTTGTTCTGGACATAGTTCTCAAATGCTTATGAAGACCTGAAAGCAGTTTGCGACTTGATGCTTTTTTTTATCAGTGACCACCAGCCTGTGTTTGCAAATGAGCCTTGTATTTTTAGCACTTCATATCTGCATTTAGCATTGTAAGCATCAAGTCTGTGAGCTTCTTACAGAACCGTACATTGGTATGTATATGTGAAGATACACATACACAGTAAATGAAAAGGCAGTTTGTACTTTTGGCACTGTGGAATTAAAAATACATTAAATTCCTACACTAGGCTGAAAACAGAAAGAAAGAAGTTCATCATTTTACACTAACATTAAGGAACCATAGAATTTAAGGCATTGCAACATATTTTAATAGAAACCTATTTCTAAAAGAGCTCAAGAAGATACACCCTCCCCTTTTTTGTTCTTCATATTCTTTCCCTTTAGAATAGTGTAATGGGATATCCTGATAGTTTTTATACCAAGCACAAAATCTGTACTAAAAAAGTACAGAAAAAGCATGTAATATAGGAACCCTATTACTTTTTATTCACCAGGAAAAGTAGGTACTCATTACTGTAAGATGCTTTTAAAAAAACATAACTTTTTATGAGAGGAAGTTGCAGTATTGTGAGTCTGTGCTTGGGTGTGCACAAGCCCATATCGATAATTGCTTGAATAATTGCCAAAACACTTGCCTGGAAAGAAAACTAAAAAGCTATATTCAATCTTTATTTAACTCTATTAATTCCAAATGAATTACACAAGAGAGAACTTTCAGCTAACATTCAGTTTATTCATTAGAAAGGAGCATGATACATGATCAGCCCCTATGCACAATCCATAAACCTCATTCCAGAGCTTTTTGTAATAGACAATGCCAAGGGACTCCCATGAGCCCAGTTTAAACAAACCTTTATTTTGATATTCAGACAGATCACTGGGAAAGAGTTGACTATGCATTAAATCAAAATGCACATTGAAAAACACAGTATAAAAACATAAAACCAGGTGTTTTTTTCACCTCATATTAATAATTTTGATTCTTTTTCACTAAAGCATTTGCAGTTTGGAAACTTTTTATATTTTTCTTTTTTACTGCCCATGCTTTGTAAAACCCTCCACTGTGCATTTAATGCACTGGTGTTCAAAGAAACTGTTTTCCCACACCCTCATATAAAAAAAAAAAGTAAAATGATAAAACTATTTATTAATAAACCCACAACATCTATTTTGAAATATTGCTCTCAATTGGAAATGGAGTTTTCAGTTACTAATATTTTCCTCCTCAAAATTTAAATATTCAGTTTTTCTGTGAGATTAACATGCCAGTCTGGCTTACTTTCAACATTTCAATTATATCTCTATAATTAAAAAATACCCAGCTAGTAGATGACATTTTTGATCCAGTCCACAAACTTGGTGACTCGAACATACACTCCTGGTCGTTCAGGAAGTGCACACTTGTAGCCGAATGATGTTACACCAACCAAAAACCACTTGTCCCCATCTTCAAATGTCAGAGGACCACCTGAATCTCCCTGCAATAAGAAATTCAAAAGTTAAAAGTGAACTGTTCATCTCTGAAGAAGAACCTGCTTATGATGTTTTGTTTTGATGCTTTAATAATAGATGTTGCATCCCTATATGACTTGGGCACCAAGAAGTGATATCAATATGAATATTTCCATGTGAAAAAAATTCTTGAAATTATAGATTTCCTTTTTTTCTTCCTTTTTTTTTAATGACATGATCTTCAACTCTTACCAGTCTTTCAGTACGGAACTGAGTTTCAAGTTATTTTCTTTTTGCTTATTACATTTACCTTCAGCCCTTCATCTTTCACAAAGTCTGGGTAAATGTGTAGATTTTTTTTTGTTGTTGAATATATTCAACGAAAACACAGTTCTATTTTCAGTCACCTCAGAGTTTCTTCAGTTTCAAATTTAGAGAAGGCGACAAGATTTCCAAAAGAGAAGGTGTCCTTTTCTCACACCTCCTTCTCAATAGTTTAGCAGATGTAGCATTGCAATAGGGACG